ACACGTAGAAGGCTCTAAGAAACCCAAAGAGCCTCCTCTAATTAGGATCCAATTAGAAGCTGTAATTGTTTATCATGCACTGATGTTGTTTGATTCAAACACAGTTTATGCCAGTTTTACTTGCTATCTACCTGAATGTGGTGATTAAATTAAATATGACTTTATGTAATGTACTGTGTGTTAAATATTTTGTAAAGATTCAATAAGGGTGAATAAAATCACACTCTTGAAGGGGAAGGAAGACAGGAAAAAGGAATCTGACCTAACTGGGAATGCATCTAAATAAATACTTTGAAAATTAAAAAAACATGCAAATACTTTTAAATTAGATGTTCATAAGGCAACTACCAAAGTATGTACACATTTCGATACTATCATACAAAAATTGTTTTAAATTCATGTTTTTAAAAACAGTGTAGCTGTATTTGGCATAAAACAGGCTTCAGATATTTAAGCATACAATCTAATACCCTTAGACTTATGGACAAAACCAAGGGCATTGTCAGTCACACCTGCGAGCTTCCTTATACCCTCTCCACCTCCCTGTGTCCCTACTCCACAACACGACCACATACTGCTCTTCCCAGAAACACAGCATTTTATTTTCACTCACTACTGCTTGCATTCTGTAGAATAAATGGAGTCAAATTACATATACTCTTTTTTCTCTTTAGTCAGAGTTCCTTCATTCAGCAGAATTACTTTGAGTGTCATCTCACTTTCTTGCATCAGTAGTTTAAGCTTTTCATTGCTGATAATAATCCCTTTCATGGATACACCCCACTTGGTTTACCCACTCCTCTGCTAGTAGGCATTCCTGATGTCCTTGGTGTTGGTGATAATATACATGCTGCAAACATCTATGTCCGAGTCTTTGTAGTGACATATATTTTACTTACCTTTTAGTAAACAGGAGTTGAATGAGTCATATAGTAAACAAATGTTTAGTTTCCTCTTAAAGATGCCAACGGATTTCCAACTGTCAATTCCATCTTCTCAAAAATCACATTTACAAGTTCTGTTGCTCCACAACTTAGCTCATAAAGAGCATGATCATGTTTTTAATTTCAGCCACTCTAATCGGTGCATGACGGCATCTCATTGTGATTTTGGTCCCCACACCTTTAGTAATTTTTCATGTTTTTCTTTGCCTTTTGTTTGTACTTTTTCATGAAGCATCTATCCAAATATTTGCCCATTTTAATTCAGTGTCTTGGCTTATTAAGATATAAGTTACTTCCATACATTCTTTATAAAGGTGTATTATTAATAGATTATCCACAAACCTTTTCTCCCAACCTGTGACTTAGTTTACCTTCCCGTTGTTGTTGGGGGAGTCTTTTGTTTCTTTCTTTGATTGGCTTGTGTGTTTCTCTGTCTGTTTGTCTGTTTTAGAAAGACTGTCTTTCTGTATGCCTCCAAATTACACACCTTCCAAGTGCAGAGATTACAGGTGTGTGCCACCACCTCCGGCTTTCACACTTTAATAATATCTTCCAAAGACTTCTCATACAGTCAATTTATCTGTATTCTTGTATAGTCCAATTTATCTGATTTCTGCTTTGGGTTGCTTTTCTGGTATGTTTATATATAAAGTGCTTGATCGTAATTCTTATAATTCAATTTTATGATTCTATGTTATCTTTTTTGTTGGCTTATTACCAGTAACTCAAAGTAATGATTTTACTGGTTGTCTTAGGATTTGTACTGCATATATAGGTATAGATGGGCACATACTTGTAAGTATATGTACATGTTGTTTTGTTCTTTTAGTCTATTGTCTCCATACTTCATCCTGAATAGTTTTCATTGCTATCTTCTCAATTTCACTAAATTTTCTTCTGCAGCATTGATTCTCAGTAATCCCATCCATTATATTTTTCATCTCCAGCATTTTTACTTCTGCCTCTACAAGTCTGCTTTGGAGAATATATACAAGTCCTCGTCTGCATCTCAACACGATCAATTCAGTCTTCTTGATTCTCACACACGTGGAATAGAGTCACATGTGCTTTAATGTGCTCACCGGCTAAAGATCCCTGAGTAATTCCCCTCTACTGTGACCTCCTACCTGGCACGTTAAACTTCAGTCACCTGGTCATCCCTGTACTCTAGGCTCCTTTTTTGACACAGGACTGCTGTCCCTGTCTAGCTGCTCCCTCTCTGAACTTGAACCTGGAAGACAATTTTTGGAAAGAGTCCTGGCTTATCAGATTCTCCCAGAGGCTGGCGGTGGGATAAGGACTCTAGTGCAAGTAGGTTGTTTAGGAAGAGATTCAGCATAAAATGGTGAGGGAATAGATGCATGAGCTAGGGAAGGAAAGGTAGCTGGTAAAGGCGTATAGTCAGACAAGTACCCCATCACCATGGGCAGAAAGAGCTGAGTGTGGCTGTAAAAGGCTTCCACCCACAGCTGAGCTGCCTCAGAGCTGTTTCACTATAAGTTTTAGGCAGCCAGTGTGTTTACAAGATTCCTATCCATAATCAACTGAGAAGTGCTGAACCGCTGGGACTAATCTGAGTGTGTGCATGACAGTCCCTGAAGGTAAAAATTCCCCCAGGCAGAGCTTCAGATGTTAGCAGTGAAAGGTCCAGAGGCTACTATGGAGGTGAGCCAGGGAGGATGTGACAGTGAGGACTCAAATCTGATAGGAAGACTGATACTGAAGTTGGCCACAGCAGACTTTAGACTCCGAATCCCTTGGTTCAGGTCCCATCAGCCACCTGGAACTGCAGCTGACTTGGGAAAGGGACTGAACTTTTATAAACTTTCTCTGTATAACAGTACGTGCTTTGATGTACTTGCAATTGTTAAATAACTCAATGCGAAGGAGACTCTGGTGTATTACCTGGCATAATCAATGCTTTGCAATAAAAAGTCCTTTTATTATTATATATTTAAATACTTTTAAAATGTTGAGCTTTGTATAATATTTTATTAGGAGAGCATAGAAAATTCCTCACCAAAGGAGTTTTATTCTGTGTCCCAATTCAAATGTTATTGAATGTATCATACAAAAATTTCATTTTATAGAATGGACATATACTTTTGTTCTTAATAGCTTAACCATTTTGTTAACAGCTTCAGCTATTAACCATAGCTTAACCAAAAGGTCGAATGAGTGAGTGTAACTCAACCACAATCAAATAAGCTTAAATAAGATTAGGGAAAATGTGGTACAAAGCAAACTCTCAATAAAGAGTACTACTTAAATTTGCTCCCAACTGATAGAACTAAGGCTAAAACGCCACAAATTTGCAGTTAGGATACATCAAGTGGTAATATAAATGGAGCAAAACAATGAAATAAAATAAAATCTAGATTAAAATTTAAAGCTGAGATGCTCAAGCCATGGTGACTTCCTATCCCACCAAGGGGACATTTGGGACTGTCAGGAGACAATTCTGATTGTAACAATGGTGGGAAGAAAATGTTACCAACATCCAGTGAATAAAAATCACTAAACATCCTACAATGGTCAGAACACCCCCCACAAATGAAGTTGTACCTTGTCTAAAAACCCTGAGTCAGAGCCTGTGTTACAATCCCATAAACCACCACCACCTCGAAACAGTAAAATTCCTTCCACTGTAAAGTTTTATTTTTTAGTAAGCTAAGATGCACTATGCACCTACACTGTGCTTTAAGAAAAAGTTTTTATGCAAAAAGGCATGCACATCAAGAAGCCTGCAAATGTCGCACAACTATCTGTACTATAAATCTGCTGCTTCAAACTGCCAGGTGAAAGCAATTCCAACAAGCCATCGACAAAGCCAGGTAATTAAAATGTTGGTGTAGACATGACCTTGGTTAATTCACCCTGACTGGTAATAACAGAAATGATGACAAAGAGGGACCCAGGGAAACGAAGGTCAGAATTTTAGCACAGGGGGCAAAAATACTCATTTTCAAATTATTTTAAACAAAATGCTGGTTGATTACAATGACACATATCACCTTTTTGTTTTCATTAGTAAACCCTCTGGGAACTTCGACACAACAAGTACAAGCTACACTTGATTGCTTGGTTTATAGAACATGGGAAACATTATCACAGAGCTAATGACAGTGTCTGTTCTCTCAGCATCCAGAGCCACCTGCCCACTTTTAATCAAGTTTCAAAGGCACAAGAACAGAACAGAAATGAAGAATGAATGTTTTCACTCCTAACTATTGGAAGGTAAAGAGGCATGTCGACAATTGTTTATCTAACATCAGAGCTGAGATTAGGACCTCTAAGTGGAGAAGAAAACACATTTTCAGCAAAGCGATATTTTCTTCCAACCGGCAAATTCTACAAAACTCAACAAGAAACTGTGATCCAAATCCATTTTTTCTACTAAAATTGGTTTGTAACAGCACTGTTGTAGCCAGACGAAAGACCTCAAAACACATTTTCTTCTCTAAGTGAGCTAAATAAGATGACATTCAAGGACCTCAGCAGCCTGAGTTTTCTATTTATTAAGTATCTGTTAATATATTGCTAATAATCAACTGTTAAATAATAGTACCAAGGATGTTCTCATTTCCCTGGTGCTCCCATCTACCATACTGCAACTGGAATCCTTCCGGCTTCATGCCTGGATATTTACCATATCAAAATCCAAAATGAAATCAAGCAATTTGAGTCAGATAAGAAGGACTTATTAGGAGCAACCTAAGTTTATGCCAAATGTAAGCAAATGTAGGGAGAAACTGTCATCCTGAAATCAAGACTCAGATCATGTGAGCTGGAACTTTTTTCTCTATTACCTAGACAACTCTGCCTTGAGCACCGAAAGATGCAGTGAGATATAATTTAGTATCTGAGTGTAAGACATCAGTACATCAAGGTCCATAAATAAAAGTGAAAAAGAAGCTTGCTGAAAGCCTATGGACTTAGCATATTACAGGAGTGAATAAAAATATTTCCAGATTATTTTTAACTTTTATAATTTTTATTACTATTTTAATTAACATATAATAGTTACATACACTTACAGAGTATAAAGAGATGTTTTTGGCCCTGAATCAAGACTAGCAGGTTTCTGAAGCTGTTGGTTTCAAGCAAGAGCCTAGAGTATCTTTCTATAGTCTGTTGGTCATTTCAGAACCTTAGAAATGTGATGATCAATTCATTAGAAACAACACCCCACCCACCTCTATGAAACCACAGCCATGAGTCCAGGCCCACTGGCCCAGAGAAGAAGAGGCCATTCCCCACCCACCCACTGCTGCCACAGGCCCAGAGGAAGCGAGTCCATAATTCCAGGGAGCCTATCACTGTGAGTTAGGAGGAGAAAAAGCCAAGGGCCCTGGTGAACTCACCTGGGCCAGAGAAGAGCCCACACCCCTCAGGAAGCCATGGGCTAGGATGCAGATGAGAGAAAACCATGCCCTGGGCTTCTGCAACCACGGGGGAACATCCAAGAGCAGCCACCTCACACCTCTATGCCACCCTAGGAACCTTAGATCAGAGGAACCTAAGTGCTTAGCCCAATCCCCTACACCACTGGATGGGCGGACAGTGCAAGAAGCACCCAGGAATCAGCAACTGGCTAATTAGGAGGAATACAGGAAAATATCAAGATGAAGGAGCAGGATGTAGTCTCAGACCTCTGGCCCACCCCGAACAAGTCCAGGAGACACAGACACAAAGAAACTGGAAGTCATACACATGAAATCTCTGAAAAGATGTCAACTGAATTAAAGACAACTTAGTGCTTACATTGTTCAATCAATTTTGCATGCCTAGATCTTTCTCAAAGCAAGAACAGGAGACCAAGACATGGAAGAAATTAAAAGCCACACAGCTGAAATTTCTAAGATGACAGCAACATAAGTAAAGAAACAACTTAGTGTTTGTGCTGTTTGGTCAACTTTGCATGCTCGTGTCTGGAGTTTGAGCATCTGTTTAGAGGACAGCAATGTGTGTTACAGTAACTATGGTTGATTTCCTACTGCCTTGTTTTTGAAGTGCAATTTCATTCCCATTGTTTTATTTTGTTTTATTCTCTTAAAATAAAAAAAGAGGCATTCTGACATATGTTTTCAGAGTGGTACCACCAACTGCTGCTGACACATCCACTGTCTCACATAACGTTTTCTATGAAAAGACAATTGAAATTCTGTTATTTTAAAATAATATATCATTACTATGATCACTCTGATGTTATAGATTTCAAAATCTATTCCTCCTGTCTATAAGAAACTCTGTGTCCTTTGATTAACAGCTCCTCCTCCCCTCCCAAATCAGATTCTGGTAACCACTACTCTACTCTCCCCTTGTAGGAGTTCAGCTTTCCCAGATTCCACCTATAATTGATGTCATATAGCCTGTCTCTTCCTGTGACTGCTTATTTTACTTAGCTTAATATCCTCCAGATTCACCTACATTATTAAAAATAACAATCCCCCCCTTAAACAGTTGAATAGTATCTATTGTACATGTGCATTTCCTTCATTCATCTGCTTTTAAATGCTTATTCGTAATGATGTACTGAATGTGAAAATAAAGATATTCTTTCACTGATTTACACTCCTTTCCATATATAGCCACAAGAGGAATCACTGGATTTCGTGGTAGTTCGTTTTAGTGTTCCGAGCAAACTCCATACTGCTTCTCACGAGTACACTGACTTAACATTACCACCCTTTACCCTGCATCAACTCCAGAACTTATTATCTTATTTTTCTACACAAAAAAACACTCTAACAAGTATGAAATACTATCTTAATTTTTAATTTGCATTTTTACAAGGATTCATGCAGCTGGCTGTTTTTTTCATGAACATCCCAGTCATTTGTATGTCTTCTTTTGAGAAGTCTCTCTCCACGTCCTGTACTCACTTTTTAAAAATGAGGTCATTTTTTATTTTTTGCCATTGAGTTGTTTGAGTTATTTCTATTCTGAGTTACTTACATTTTGGGTATTAACTTTCTATCAAATTTACAAATATTTCCCCCATTCTGTGAGTTGTTTCTTCATATCCTCAAATTCATATTTATTCATTTAATTAGGATAATTTTCAATGAGATCAGTTTTAACATTCTTCTGCAAGAAAAATTCAGATCCTAATCTGTTCCATTTTCCTGAATCTTTGATATGTAATACTCAATGATAGCAGAAAAAAAATATTGTTCTTTAAAGTAGTCTTGTTTACAATAGAAAAGGAAATGATGAAATGTATGGTATCTCCTTCAAGAACTCCTCATAATAAACATATAGGCCAAAATACATGAAGTATATGAGTTTGGAAGGTTTCAACTTTTTGAAAAAGCTTAGCTATCTGAAATAAAAATATTAAAGTAATGATAATAAAGCAACAGCACTATAGTTTCAAGACTCTCGACAATTGAACTACCTTGACCCTTCACCTTTCAGCCAAGGATGAGGGTGGCATGCTACAGCATGTAAAAGAAAATAAAAACAGTAAAAGAAATAAAAACAAACCATGACAAGGAAGCAGCAGCTTAGGAAAGATAGAATGTTTTTTACATGGTAGGTGACACAGTTAACTTCAAATGAGAAACATATTTCAAACAGTCCATGTTGAACACAGATGGAGAGTGAGTGGTATCATGCCAGCTTTCCATTGCAAGTCCTATCTTTATCCAGGACAAATGCTCCTTTAGTTACCCTCTGAGCTTCTATCACGTTCCAGTCTCTGGTCTAGCAACTAAAGCTGCCCACTGGCAGTTTCCAAATAAATCAGTCAATCAGAGGCAGATTCAGGAAGATCAACAGTACAGTGTGGCTGATCTGGTGACAGGTACATGTGCAGGATGCTACGGGAGTCAGTTTGTAGAACTAGGATTCACACCAAGTGAGTAGAGCTGGAGGCACCAATCCCACTAAGTACCATGCAATAGTATTCTTAAAGATCCTGACAGAGGGGAGAGAAGCTCCCCAAACTAGATCAGGATGATGGGACAGGAGCAAAGAGGAACTGAGTCTCAGCAGGCAAACTCTTCGGGATGAGGCCTAGAGACCAAGATGATTTATTAATGTTGAAAATGTGAATCCAAAGTGGCTACCATACTATACCTTGCTATCTTTGAAACAGCTGTTCGTGCCATCAAATATAAAAAAAAAAATCAAACAAAACACAGCAGAATAAAACCCAACCCAACAAAACAATGCAAATGGCCCAAGACTTCAAAACAAGATAATGAAGAATTGTGGAAGTCTTTTATGGCATTCGTTGTTTTGGTTTTATTGGTTCAATTCTGTTCTGTTTTGTTTGACTTTTAGCATGTCTGAAGGTATCTGCAGCTATTTTGAAGACAACCAGAGGCATTATGGTAACCACTGTTGATTTCATATTGTTTTGAAGTTTGGTATCACACTGATTTGTTTTGATTGACTTTATTCTGCTTTATTTTACTTGGTTTATTGGTTTTAAAGTAAAATTTTAAAAATGTTGAAAATGTGAAGAGCCTCCCAGGCAAAAGAACTACATATCAGAACTACAAGTGCATCTGGTGACAGTATTAGTGGGTCCACTTTTCAGACATTCAGGAAGACATCTACCTCCAGATCCTCAAAACAATCAAAAGTGACCACTGGCCATACGCACTGGACACTAACATTATTTTGTTCTTCTACTGGTTGAAGGACCTTGACACATCAAAGGGAAAAAACACTGTTGCACCCTCCGATGATCAATTGCTCCAGGCAGTCAAAAAAGAAAACAAAATCAAAATCCACTAAGTTGTCAGTTTATAGTTGAAACCTTCCTTTCTTTATATTCATAACAATTTTTTTTTTACTTTTCATCTAAGAACACAATAAACTCCCCAGGTATTTTTGTGTTATTCCAGAAAGTTGAAAGGTACAATCTTTTCATAAACTTTGATCATTCAACTGACACAAAGCTTGAAAAATATTACAGATTAATCCCAAAGAACACTGTGCATTTCTGCCATATTCAAAATAGATTTGTAAATCAAAGTTGATATACACAACTAACATAGACAAAGAAGGGGGTTGCAATGAGTTTCACAGCGAGAGAATGGTATCTGCTTTTTGCAACTATAAACTAGTAAAGCCTGTGATTAACTGGCACTCTGAGGATGGAAGAAATCAGATACCATACATATCCTCTGGCAATAATAAAAATAATAGCTCATTAATTCATGTAACAAGACTACTTTTAACACACTGGTTACCTGTAACTTCATCGGAATCTATTTTCAGGCAGAACAAAAAAACACAGATAAATATTTCCAGTTCTATTTTTGTCCTTTCTATCAGACAGAGACTTCTGGAAAGCAGGAATTGTGTCTTGTGTGGCTTCAAATCCCAGAGAATGTTCCCGACTTAGCTCTATCCAAGTGATGGGAGGAGAAGAAGAAGGAAAAAGTCAAATGCAGAGGGAAGGAGAAGGGTTAGCAGAAGACGTGTGAGGCCTGCATCTGCCACACCACCCACTCGTTCCTATCTGAACACTCAGCCAACATTTTCAGAGTTGCTTCCAAGCAAGCAGACAGCGCATTCCTGACTGATAGGCAGTACAGTCTCCTTTCATATTTCTTAGTTGGCTCACAATGTCACTTTTGATCATTTTTTTCCAATTCTTTCATCAGCCAAAGCAGAACCAGCCTACTCTCTCTTATTTTGGCGCTGGTTTCTGTGTAAAAGATTCGTGTCTTTTCACGAGGTCACCGAAAAAAAAAAAATCCCCTTGCTTTTTTCTCCCTGCAGGACTCCTATCTGTCTCGGAGGCTTTGTGGAGTCCAGGCAGGTTTCAGCAATGTCACTGGCCCAGTAAGGGCAGCTGGATAAAAGAGCTGTCTGCCTAAACTCAACCATTTTTCAGAGCCTTCAGACATGAAAAAGTAAACCCACTCCTAGTCAGCAATACTGCATTACAGAAAGAGTAAATAAATAAATAAAACCATTTAATGAATTACATACAAGATTTGAATTCAGAATTAAAGAATATGGGGAAACAAAGTACTTTATCAATTAGAATGAGCTGAATGGTTTCTTTACAGCCAGAAACCAACCAATTAAACAAACAGCAGATAACAAACAGGCATTCCATTCCTGGTATTTATATGGCAAATGAGGTGGTCATTCATTCCAGTGTCTCAGTGGATATTCTCTGACTTAATTCTTCTAATGTGCTGAATTATAGTCATTACTTTT